GAAATTTGTTGCGTTATAATTTCACTAACGAAATTTGCGTTAACTCGTAACGCATTATTCTTAAGAATCCTCTTCTAAAAGCTACGTTAATGTTTTGCGTTATGAGTCGTCAGTTCTTCGGGCATCTTCGGGAATATAACGCAAATTGCGAAGGAACTAGGAGGAAATAAGGACGTAATAATCTCTACACCAATCATAGCAAAAGATTTAAAATATTTGAATCAGCTAAGGCCGCGTCCCACTTGACGACGATCCCGACGATCCCGTGTCGTTTTTTCGTCCTTTCGTTCAACAGCTGTGGAGAAACGAGGATAGAATAAAATATTCGAAGTAATGTATAATTTATTTATACTTTATTTACTATATATATAACTTACACTATGGGCACACATTGGTAATAAATAAATTAAAATAAATTAAATGATAAATTAAATGATAAATTAAATGATGGGTGCGTAATGTAGCACACGATGACTAAGAAGACATCTCCACACATTTTTTAAAAGTCCAAAAGTTCTTTCGATACAATTTCTTGTAGATGTGTGACACTGCGTATATCTTGCTTCTGCGCTTTCTGCTGCTGCATCTGTGATAGGTGTCATCAGCCAAGGTTCCAAACCGTAACCTGCATCGCCTATAATGAAATAGACATTTTTACGTATATTATTAGGTAAAGAAATATAAAATAACAATTATTATATTTACCCAAAAGCCATGTTGATCGATCTCCGGAATCATATAATTGTTGCATAAAATCCCTTATGGCAGAATGTCTCCATATAAAGTTATCGTGGACACTTCCAGGAAATCTGGCATTGATGTTTAAGATTTCCAAATCGTGTGATGCTATCTTATTATAAATAATACAAGCATTAAGTTTCTTTTTGAAATGTATTTAGTACATTATATATTATGTATTTCTGTTATAAGTCTACTTACTGCCTGAACATTAATGGAATGAAAACCTTTATGGTTTAAATATGATTCCTCGTGATGTGTTGGTCTTACAACAGCAACATGAGTGCAATCTATGCAGCCTATTACTCCTTTAAAATTTCTTTCCTTTTGAAATCTGTAAAAACATATTGTAAACAATATCATAAAACAATTATGGCAAAAACTATAATTCAGTTTGTGTGTGTGTGAATAGATAATTTTTTTATTTAAAGTATTTTTAAGAAAATATCCGTTAAGAGAGTAGTGTGCAATCATGCATAAATTACTTCAATTTCATGTTAGTATTATACGTTATGTTTTCTTCAGAAAAATAATATTTGTTTATAGCCAGAGTTAAATTTTAATGGTCTTTTATAATTGTAAAAGAATATTACCTTTCTTTTAAAGCTGCTCGTTTTTCATCTGTATTTGGGAATTTGATCCACTCATTGGCAAGCAATTGTGTAATACCCATCGCTACTGCTTTTATTGCTCTGCTAGTAGCTGGTTGTGATACAGATATCAGGTAATCATTACCAATACTTTTTTGATAGGAGTCTATAGCAAAGAAACGCAGTGCAGCTAGTAAGTATTATAATTACTAACACATAGGTTTTTATTACATCAAGTATTTCAACAAAATCAGTATTAAATAATATAAATTGTACACACAGTCGTAGACAATAAAATTGTTCGTTATGTTCAATGCAGTTCAGAACGAAGTTAATAGTCTAAGAAAATTTGTTTTGAAAACTGTTCAACAAATATTCTCTCGTTGGACCATTAATTGGGTTCCGCTAGATTTCATCTAAATATAGCGGACAACTGTAGTGTTTACGATGTATGTATTTCATAGCTTTATTCGAATTTATATAATTACCTGTGTTTCTACACTTAATCCTTTTCTTCCTTTACGTTGTAAAATACACTGAAGTGAATCACATATATAAATAACTGTTTCCTTTGATAGGTGAAACACTTTTATAAACTGTTCATTGGTTAAGTCGAATGGATTAATATTATCTCTTAACTTTTTCATTAATATACTATTTTCCTCCTTTGCTTCCTATAATTTTCCTTTCTTATAACTATTGCACCAGCCATTTTATTATAAATCGATTGAAGACGATTTTTTAATATTGCCTTAATTTACACCGAGAGGATTAAACGCGGACTGAAATATACTGTGACCAATCGCAGTTGATTTTTACAAGAATAATCAACTGCAATTGGTTACAGTATAGTTCAGTCCGCGTTTAGTCCTCTCGGTGTAAACTAGAGCACTAACTTTAGCTTGTAATGATCGCGTTATGATATTTAACGCTGTCTAGCAGCCAGCGTTAGGATTACTTTACATAACGCAAGGAAATACGTTACGAATTGCGTTAAAGTGAGTTACAGAATACAATATTCTAGTGAGATTGAGTATAACGCAAGTTTAACACTTTCTTAACACATCATTAACACGCCATGCGTTAAAATCCATTTACAGAATATGAAATAGTAAAGCATGCGTTAAAACCTTTATAACGCATGCGTTAAGAAGTTTCAGAATAGGCCCCCAGGTCTGTAAATATAAAACCGGAATTTGCCCATAGATGGCCCTAGCTATCAATGTAGTTACCATCAAACCGCGTCATTGGCGCCATTTCCTTGTTGACATCTCTGACAAAGATTTTCAACTCACAACAATACAAGTTTCATACAACAGCATAGTTTGTAATAGCGTTGAACATGTCGAATTTTGTGCCTGGAAACTACGATTTGCGGACAGCATTGATTTTCTGTTACCATTTGAAGAAAACTGCTGCAGAATCGCATCGAATGCTTGTCGAAGCTTACGGTGAGCATACTCTTGGTAAATCACAGTGCTTTGAGTGGTTTAAAAAATTCAAAAGTGGCGATTTTGATGTGAGAAACGAAGAACGTGGAAGACCACCGAAAAAGTTTGAAGACAGCGAATTGCAAGCATTGTTGGATGAGGATGACACTCAAACGCAACAACAACTCGCGGATCAATTAAATGTGACACGAGAAGCCGTCTCCATACGTTTGAAAGCCATGGGAAAGATCCAGAAGATGGGAAAATGGGTTCCACATGAACTGAATGAAAGACAGCAGGAAAACCGAAAAACCACTTGCGAAATGCTGCTCGCCAGGTACAAAAGAAAGTCATTTCTCCATCGAATTGTGACTGGCGATGAAAAGTGGATATATTTTGAGAATCCTAAGCGTAAAAGATCATGGGTAACTCCAGGCGAACCATCGACATCGACTGCAAGGCCAAATCGCTATGGACGGAAGACAATGCTCTGTATTTGGTGGGATCAGAAGGGTGTGATTTATTATGAGCTGCTAAAATCTAGCCAAACCGTTAATACTGAACGCTACCGACAACAAATGATCGATTTGAATCAAGCTTTGCGTGAAAAACGACCAGAATATAAAAAAAGGCAACACAAAGTGATTTTGCTTCATGATAATGCACCATCACACACAGCAAAACTGGTCAAGGAAACGATTGAGGCGTTTAGTTGGGAAATACTTTCGCATGCGGCTTACTCACCAGACTTGGCTCCGTCCGATTACTATTTATTTGCATCGATGGGACACGCACTTGCTAAGTAGCGCTTCACTTCTTACGAAAATGTACGAAAATGGCTCGATGACTGGTTTGCCTCAAAAGAGCAACAGTTTTTTTGGCGTGGCATCCACAAATTGTCAGACAGGTGGGAAAAATGTATAGCTAGCGATAGGCAATACTTCGAATAAAATATTTTTTATCATTTTCATACAATAAACGTATATTTTCTATACAAAAATTCCGGTTTCATATTTACATACCCGGTAGAGTATCCGGATGAGGAATCTGAACGCACCCTTGATTTAATGTAAACACCCAGGGTGTCATTACATGAAGCGTGGAAACGCAGAAATGCAAAGACAAAATCTTACTAGATTTTCGCGTTCCCTGAATTGAATCATTTCTTCTCGCACGTTTGAAAAGCAGAAAAGCGGAAGGCCCAAAACTTTTCTCTATTGTCCTTTCATCCAAGGTACTGAGATATGAATTCCAAAAAAATCAGGTCCCAACGTGTTCGAACACGTCTTAATGTAACGGCGATTAGGTCGGAACTTGTGACAGATTTTGATGCGCTTGTTCCGCGACTTTATTTCTCTTTATTACATGGAGCACGATTTACGCGGAAAAGCGAAACGGTTTGATGACAAGTAAACATCTGTATTTATTTCTTAAAATTATATTCACTTAATTTATTGCAACTTTTATTAATATCTTATTTTTATCTTTTCAGCTTATCTGTTGAATACAAGCATTTTAATTAGTAAGATTTTGTCTTCCGCATTACCGCACTTCATGTAGTGGCACTCCCACTGTCAACTGGTCAGATTATGATGCTTCCACAGAACGCATGCATGCGCATTTGCGTCGAAGTACATGATCTGTGAAAGTGAGAGGTTGATATATGTCTGTACCGTAATGTTGGCGCCCACTTTTTCGCTCCATTAGCAATATAGTATTAAGCCCTATGTACAATGCCAGACAACAGCGATGAGAACAGTGATAGGAATAGTATAGAAATAAGTGATATATAGGCCGCGTTCCGTTTCACGCACATGCGCGCATTTATCTATAGTTCGTCTTACATATATTGTAGGTAATACGTGCATAATGTGTGAAACAACGCAACCTTAATTGTCGCTTGCCGTTGCACAATGCCGCGAAAAAAATAAAGACCAACCAATCAAATCACATATAGACTGTAGTCTGCTCTTTTATCTGTTTTAAGTAAACAAAAAAAGTTGATATTTATTAATAAATAGTAAGTTGATATTTATTAATAAATAGTAGATAAATTGTAATATTATACCAAAACGTTCAAAATTGCCTTCGAATACTTTTTCAGATTTTCGTTAGCAAATTTTGGCATATTTTATAGTGTTTGAACTAAAATATTACAGAGAAAATATATCTGAAATGTTTTTATATGTATATATTGTTGTGCATATTATATTAGGTCTATAACTTGAAACTTAGGAATACTGATTTTAAATCGATTTAATCGAAGATTGATTAATTGGAACCTAAGAGATCGATTTTAAATCGATTTTCTGAAAATAAACCGATTTAAGGATCGAATTGTAAATCCTGAAAATCGTCAACAATCTTTTTCAGTTTTAATTAGTAATCTACATTTAAAAAAATTTTTTTTCATTTTAATACTTTGAACTCACTCAATGGCTACTCAATGCGCATTAGTGGTCTGTTCCTTTTAGCTGCACTGCTGAACTAGTGTAATGAGTTAGAATGAGATATGGTGGAAGTAACAAGGTGTGCTATTGCGCAAGCATTTTGTTGTTGGCCAATAAGAGAGCGTGACTGAACTCAGTCATTTTGGGCAATACAAACGCACAGGAACATACCGATAAACGCTATATACTATCGCGTTATGTGTGTATGAGTGCAAGATGACTGCTGCGCGGTCACAGCGCCAAATACGTCCGAGAAACGAGCACATCTTGTTATTTCGACCATGGAAATAAGTATATTTTTTTCTCATTCTAACTTATTATACCAGTTCAACAGTGTAGATAAAAAGAAGGACTTAGGGCCATCGCACATGCAATGACATAGCTGCATATGCATAACATAAATTGGAATATGGAGTAAATAAATAAATAAATATGTATTTATGATAGTAAAAGTAACTTCTTATTTAATAATATTACCAATAAACCATTTGTCAAATTTTTTAAATTCATATTAAACTTTATATTAACTACATGAGAATGTACTACTTTAAAATGTACAAATTTGACAGACAGTAAACTTTAAAAAGTGGTTCCATAGAAGGAGGAGGGCGTACTAAGTGGCGTGCGTTCGAGATCTGCGTATCTTTTCGTTCCAGAGAGAAAAAAATATCGAGAGCGCGGTCTTGCTAGGCCGAGACTCGAACCCGGGTCTTTCGCTTGTCGGGCGACTGTTCTAAACCACTAAGCTACCTGACGCTCCACGCTCACGACATTCTCCTCTCCCTAGATAACTCAGAGATGCCGTTCAGAAGCGACATCTCTGGCGCGATCCTAAGCGCACGGCGACTACAGAGAGAAACAATGTTACTGTACCAAATGGTACAACTGTTAGTCTCTCAAAGTCAAAGTGGTGTAACACTGTGTATATTTATCGATTCAAATCGATTTTCTGAAATCGATTCTTTACAAGCTGATTTTTTAAAGATCGATTCTTTTCTTAGCAATTCGAATCGATCTTTAAATCGATTTTTTAAAAAATCGGCATCCTTATTAAAATCCGCTCTCTAGCGATAAATAGCTGTAGCTTTGACAATCGTCAACTGTAATGACTGAATAAGGCATCATTTATAGTTTTGACCTCTGTCAATAATATTTAGTATATAAAAGTTTGTGTTTGTGACAACAACATAGTTATTTATTGCCAAGAGAATGTCCGAATTTCAACCAAATATGCATCATTTGCGCGAAGCTTTGCTTTTCTGTTTCAATTTGAAGAAAACTGCTGCTGAATCGAATGCTCATCGAATGTTTGTTGAAGCTTAAATGCTCATCGAATGTTTGTTGGAACTTGCTCTATCGGAAACAACTTGCAAGGAATAGTTTCGACGACTCAAACTTGGTGATTTTGACATGAATGATAAAGAACGTCCAGGCCAGCAAAAAAATTCGAAGATACAGAACTGCAAGCATTGGTTGATGAAAATCCATGTCAAACACAAAATCAACTTGCAGAAACGTTGACTGTTACTCAAGTAGCCATTTTCCAAACGTTTAAAAGCCATAGGAAAGATATACAAGGAAGGAAGATAGGTGCTATATGAATTGAAAAAAAGAGACAGCGAAAAAACAGCTCTGAAATGCTGCTTGCCAGGTAAAAAGAAAAGTGTTTTTGCATCGAATTGTGACTGGCGATGAAAAGTGGATCTATTTCGATAATCCCAGCGCCGAAAAACCATTTGCGACCCAGGCCAACCATCGACATCGACGTCAAAAC